CTTCCTTGTCACTAGCCTTCTCAGTAGAAGTTATATAATAAACAGTTTCTGGTCTTCAGACAGAGAATATTTTGGAGCAACATGTTGACATGTTGACTGCCTTCGAAACATAGATGTTGAGTACACCCAGCCACCAGCTGCAATTATTACCCATTCGTCCAAATAATTACCGTGATTCCATTGACTCTTATCTGTCATTCTCATCTGAAACTGGGGATGACTGGGTGGGGTAAGATGAAAATGGAGGAGAAGAAAGACTTAAAAAACTATGGAGTTTTTTAACTCACTGGGCTCAGAACAGTGAATGAAAAATTAGGAGCTCTGAAAAATGAATTGGGAATCATTTGGACGCACCTATCTGGGATACGGACAAGCAAATCCTATTGATAACTGGTCTGCTTAAGAGTTCATACTTAGGAATACAGCTGAAAAAAGTTTCATGCCACAACAACAAATAGATGCATACTCTTATTTTCTATTTCGATTTTACTCCTTTCATTAAAACATAAATGAGGTGCTAACCCAGGGATGGTTATATATAGTTTGGAAAACGCTGCCACAGAACAGCATAGGTGCATTAGCACTGGTGTGATTTTAGTTTTGTGACCATCGAGGTCATATTTTTCCTCCATGTTATTTGTTAAAATTCTAAGATGCTACATTTGTCACAGAGAACAGCATCTTTCCAACCCTCTATTTACATATTTCCTTGGAGTTCTGACTTCCAAACAGGGCAGTCATTCCTTCTAAGGAGGCAAGTTGGGGACAGTTTATATACACAAGTGTTTCCTAAATCGTACATTGACTCTCATGGGTTTGCTTCTCGGGTTTTTCACTGTATTTCACCACAAGAGCTTTCTTTTCTCTCTTCTAGTTTCTTTTTCTTATCTCAGGCAAATTCTTCCTAATTTCAACTCGATTCAGCAACTAAATTTTATTAATTTAGAAATACAAGGATGAACCAGAAACTCTACCGTTGAGTAACTGATTTGGAGAACAATCCAACATCTATAATAGAGTGAGAAGTTGAAGAGAGGAGCATAGAAGGGGCTTAGACAGCAGAGAAAGAAGGGCCCAGATGACGAAGGGTGGAGACAGTTTTTCCAAAGAGATGTGCTTGGGAAAGAAAGCACCGAACTTTGCGTGAGGTGAGAGCTGGCATTCCTGCATGTGTTGAGACATGGAGGCGAGGAGCACATGTAGTTACATTTGTCTGGAGTTCTAGAAGAGTGACGGGAGATGAATGAGGCTCAGCTGAAGCAAGAGGTTAGCCGAGGGGCCTGCTCTGCACACCCGTGGGCTGTGGCGAGCCACCCAGGGACTCCATGCCCTCAATGCTCTCTGGGAGGAAGCATTGAGGGATGGGTTCAGGTTTCAGAGTCTCCTTTTTAACTCCTTTCTACTAGGCTATAGCCTATCTGAAGTCTGGAATTGTACCTGGAATGGCCCAGGTACAGGGCGTGGTGTGGACTCAATGGACAGTCGGAGGTTTGTTTACATACCCAACACTCGCCAGGTAGTTGAAACTCAAGTCCACACTGCGCTCTGATCTTCAAGAGGGATGAACTGGAATTGCAATACTTTGGGAGTAACCCAGGAAAACAAATATTCTCTTTTACTAAGGCCTCTTTTCCAAACTACCCCTTCCTGGAAAGATGTTGCAAATGACTTATTGACTTATAATTATTCTCATCCCTCCCCTACAGGTCTGAAAGATAAAGAAAATAGAGACATTAATAAAAAGCAGGCATAAAAATAATTGTCTTGTGATGTCCTCATTTTATAGTTCTCACTAGCTACTACTGCTCAATAACAAATTTAGGTTTATGATCTTTTTAAAGTTTATTGATTTATTTTTGAGAGAAAGACAGCGTGTGAGCATGATTGTGGGAAGGGCAGAGAGAGAGAGGGAGGGAGAGAATCCCAAGCAGGTTGCGTCAGCGCAGAGCCAGATGCACGGCTTGAACACACAAACCTGTGAGATCACGACCTGAGCCAAAACTAAGGGTTGGATGCTTAACTGACTGAGCCAGCCAGGAACCCCTATGATTTTTTTTTTTTTTAAAGAGAGAGAGAATGTGCATGCAAGCAGGGGAGGGACAGAGGGAGAAGGAGAGAGAGAGAATCTCCTGCTGAGCATGGAACCTGATTCAGTGCTCACTGCATGGCTTGATCTCACAACTGTGAGATCATGACCTGAGCCAAAATCAAGAGCCTGATGCTTAACCGACTGAGCCACCCAGGCACCCTGTTTTATGAGTATATTTAATACTACCTACTAAGTGTGAAAATCACCATAGAAATAACTGAATGTCAGAGTTGAGAGATCCTTTGGAGCTTATTCTGGTTCACCCCTCTTGTTTTACAGTTGCGGAAAGGGGGAGGGGCCTAGACAACTTTACATCAGAGGATTAAAATCAACCAATTTTACAATTTTACATCAGAGAATTAAAGTCAACCAAAAAGCGATGACTCAGAGAGACTTACCTTGTTGGTAGATGCCCAATTACGCTCTTCAAGGTGTGTATGTGTATTCCCATTATAAAATTTGTATCATACTGTTTATATTTTTGTATCTTGCCCTTTTCACTCAACATATTTTGAGGTTGCCCCCCCAAATTTTATGTGTGAATTTAATTGCTATTAAAAACATGTGAATTTAATTGCTATTCACATGTTACATATTCAAATATTTAATGACTGTTAAAATATCTCATTATATGTATATACCATCATTTATTTGACCTATTTCCTGTTGTTGGGCATTTGGGTTGTTTAGGGTCATTGCTGTTATTAGAAATAAACACCTTTGTACATAAACCATAATTTTTCTGATTATTACTCAAGGGGAGAATTACTAGTTTGGTCAAAGGGGGTGGGCACATTTAAGACTTCCAATACTTACTGCCAAGCTGACCAGTCCAGGAAAGTTTTTCAGATTTGCCATAAGCAATACATTTCACATATTTTTTTTGGAATCTTGGCAACATAGGACCCTACGGGTCAGTTATCCCAGCTAACTTGGGGTTCAAATTAGCCCATTTAAATCACTTTAATCCTTTAAAGTACTAATGATTGTACTCATTTAAAAAATTTTAATAATTCTGATGCTCTTGGCTTCTCAGGAGGTCTTATCCTCAAATTGTAAATTTGTTTGTAAGAGCTAAGGGAGAAAAGTGTGACCAAGTGGCCAGGGATCAAATGGGAAAGGTCTAGGATTTTTCCTGTAGGGGTCACTGTTACTGTCAGATTATGCCTGCTAGGAAAGAAGGGTGCATTTAAGAATGTAAGCACATTCATTTTTAATGCCTGATTTGTTTCCATTCCCTAAACCGTAAAGTAAATAATAAGACCTTGAAGCCAGATAGCATCGCAATGCCAAGTTTCTTATATAATGACGAATACCACTCTTTGCACTCAGTATGTTTCTCAGTGTGAATGGATTGAATGCCTGCCACTCATTTGAAAGGCACTTATGCCGGCTCTTAATAGAGTAGGCATTAACTAATTGCCTAAAGCCATAAAGCGTTTACGTGGCAAACAGGGACTTGAAGAGGGTAAGGAAACAGCATTCATTGCCGTGGACGACAGGATCCCCTCCCTCCGCCTTCTCTTTTCTGCTTTTTCCGTGGGCCTCTCTGCGCTCTGCCTCAACATCTATCTACACGGAAGACAAAAATCAGACGTTGTAATATGCCTTCTATTGCGCCAAATGAGTACAAAGAGGTGCTTTTCAATTTCAAAGTTTTTATTAATGCATCTCAAACATGATCCCGACGTCCCGGGAGCGGGGCCAATGTAGCCATGGGGACACACCTTTGCAAGGCAGCGGCTGTCAGGCGTCAGGGCTGGGGCACGCGGACGCCAGGGGCTGCTGCAAACGTGTGAGCCCTCGCCACAGGGCAGCAGGCTTTCCCATCATAAAATGCAAAGTAGCCAGCCGTTTTCCATTTTCCCCATCCCCAGCCCTCCTCCTCAGGTGCCCCAGGAAGGGGCCTGGAGGATATTTACTCTTGGCTCCTGCGTCCTCCCATTTAACCGAACCCAGAGGCAGCTGCCTCTGTGAGCGCGGTGCCCCGGGGTCGGGCCCAGCCGCACCTTGCTGGCAGGCTGCCCAGCTGACCCAGCGCTTGGGCCAACCCTGGGCTGGGCTGAGGCGTCCGGGAAGCGGAAGGAGCCCGTCCAGGAAACCAAGGGTGGTGGCTCGCTGGTGTGCAAGCCTCGACTTCGGTGGGGGTGGAGAGTTCAACGTCGCCCCAGGCGCGAGGCTTCCCGCGGCGGACGCCCGGCTCGACCCCCTCTGCCTGCAGCTGGGAGGAGTTGAGGCTGAAGTTGGCGAAACTCGCTCACCTGTCGGAACCCGTATCTGGGCAGGAAGCAGGGCCTCGCGGCCAGAGCGCGCGGGTTACGGCAACTTCGGCAGACGGCCCTCCGGGTGCAAGGACCTCACGGCCAGCGAGGCAGGGGTGGGAGCTGCTCCCAGGACCCCCAGACCCCCGGCCTGTGCGTCCCCAGCTCCGTGCTGGTCCCTTGCGCCCCCAGGCGCCTTCGGCTTGGCGTGGCCCGAAGGCCAGCTGGGGCGGGCGCCAGGGCTGCAGGTCCAAGACGCTCCGCCTCCTTCTGCCACTTAGACACCAGCGCCAGCAGGAATCCTTGAGCTCCGTCTTAATCTGCGGTCACTTTCAGAACTTTTCAGGCAAGGACGAGCTAGGCCCTTTGCCTCTAACTGACGCCGCCCCTGTAGCCTCCCTGGGTCACTCCCGGGACCGGGAGATCCCTCTCTCCCCCGGGCACCGACACCCTAAGTTTTTACGCGCGGTCTGCGCCCCCGGACTGGGTGTCTGGCTCCTGTGCTGAGGGGCGCGCGCATCTTCCGCGGGCCCGCAGCGCTCGCATCCTCCGCGCCAGCCCTCCTCCTCCCCTGGGACGAGTGTGGGGCTGGTGCGCCCGGACCTGCGGGGATCTGGAGCGTTCCTAGCGCTCCGAGTTCGCCCCCGCCTCGGAATCGACCCTCGAGGAGGGGACTGAGCCTCCCAAGGCCAGGCCCCGTACTCTCATAGTCACAGAGGCCTCTCCGGATCCCGGTGCCTGTGGCAGAGCGGCCCGCGGAGAACCCGGGCTCTCGAGCCGCGTCGCGCCGTCGGGGCAGCGCGCGCCATGGCCGGCTGCTGCTGCCTGTCCGCGGAGGAGAAGGAGTCGCAGCGCATCAGCGCCGAGATCGAGCGGCAGCTCCGCCGGGACAAGAAGGACGCGCGCCGAGAGTTCAAACTGCTGCTGCTGGGTGAGTGGCTGCGACGGGCGTCTTCCTTCCTCCCTCCGGGCCGCTCCCCTCCCTCAGATCCCCGCCAGGCCTGGAGCCAGCGGGGTGCGGCTCGGATCCCTCCCGTCCCCCCGGGGGCTCGGAGGCCGGCCGCCTGGGGCCTTAGGCACCAGTCCTTTGCACCTCGAGTTGGGCGACTTTCAAAGGCAACCTTTCCCTACCCCCAAAACAGCGGTGAGACCGAGCATTTGACCAGTGTTGGCTCTGTTCGTCCCTCTCCCTAACCCCTCCTTCACCCCACTCAGCTGCCCCCGGCGCGGAAGGCTTCCTCAGAGCCTTTTCTTGGAGTAGGTGGTGGAGAGCTGCCTCGTGTACTTCTTTATGTCCGGCCCAAAGTGCTCCCAGTTTTAAATAAGTATGGTTGAGTGAGTGCTTACCGCCGAGTGCTAAGTTGTCACCGCATCACTGGGCCATAACGCGGGCGGGTGGTAACCTCCCCATCCCGGGGAATTAAAAATGGAGGCCCGAAAAACTGGTAAACTTGTTTTGAGAAAAGACAGCAGCTGCCAGGTCCGTAATGGCGGTGATGTGCACGTTCTAGCCACTCACCCTCTGGTGGTGATCGCAGTTGCCTCCCTTGGGTGACTCCCTCGAGCCAGGCCTTTCTGTCTGCAGGCGGCAGGCCCCAGCCTCCCTTGATCAGTTTCACTCAGGCTGCACTCCTTCCTAGGCTTTGGGAATGGGCTGCCCCAGATGCAGTGACTAGTTATCCCTCCGGCTCTTAACTTTCAAAAACAGAAAGAAGATGCTAAAGGTTTGCCAATTTCTGTCCCAGGTCAAGGAGCCCACCTTTTCTGATTTTTGTTCTAAAACCCTGTTCAATCTGTTGACTGCTTGAGAACTATTTACCTTTTCTTTCAGACCAGGATAGTAGCTGTCATCTTTCTAGAGAGTTGGAAGTATTTCAGACTTTGGTCTTTCAGACAGGAATCCTCTCTCACACCAGTTTATGAATTTTGAATACAAGGAGTCATGCTCCCAGAAAGCTTCAAGGAAAGAGAAGTTGATCTAGTTAAAATAAAATGGAGAAAGCTTTTAGTCCACACCGTCTTCAGGCCTGAGCAAAGGAAGCCTTATGCACGTACTCTCTGGAGTTTAGAGGGTTTCTGTGGGGGTGTCTGGCCTTCACTAGGCTGTGCCCCTCCCTAGTGGGCTTCATGTCAGCAGGTGAAGTGGGCTGCCCCACCAGAATACATTTTCCCTCTCCCCACACTCCCGTATTCCCATTGAATTCCCTGTCCAAATGCCCCAAGCTACCTTCCAAGGCCTTTGCAAATGTGTGTGTGGGCGGGGGAGGAGCCGACCCCATCCCTAAGGAATGCCCAAGGGCAGCTGTACTGGGCTGATGGATGAGCTTGGAAATGAGGGTTGAGAGTGTACAGGTGTGCCCCCAAGGCCTCCCTGGGGAGGGAGGGAGCCTGGGTGGGGAGGGAAGAGATTGTGTCCATTGGTGGGGCTGTTTCACGTCTGGCCCAGAACCCTCAGGGATCTGCGATTGTAAATTGTACCTGGCCTTCCAGGTTGTTAGAAAGCTACCTTTATCAAGGGAGGAGTGACAGTTGGCTAGCTTGCTGACCTCTTTAAAGTAATTGTGTGGGCCTCCGTTTGTACTCTAACCTCAGGCCCCACAAATGACAGGGGCTCCCCTGGTTTGAGCTGCATACTTTTTTTCAAGGGAAGTCTGAGCCTTCTTTCGTGGTGAAGTATGGTGATTTGTGTCCGTGTGCGAAGCACAGTGTCTGGAATATACCAGGAGCTTGACAAATGCTGGCTGTTGGTGTGAGCGTTAGAGCAGTACACTGAGCTAGACTGCATTGGTATCCAGCCTGTTTTTTGTTTTTGTTTGGGGGGGGGGGGCGGTGTGGTCAAATGCTTGCATTTACACTCAAACTAGGGTAGACATGTTGTAGGGAAGTTGTTTGCCCTGGAGGTCATGTTTAATACTAGTGACTAGAATATCTTCTTTGCCTCCCCCATGCCTTTGCCCCAAACCTCTTCCGGTACCCACCAGGCCCTGCCTGACCTCCCAAGATCCCCGTTTTCATTGTGTCCAGCTGTGACTAGCGTATTGGCTCAGTGCTAGTTACTTAGAAAACACTAGAAATAGTTTCCAAACCACATAGAGCTGTCAGGAACCCCAAGGAGGGACTTAAAAACCTCTGCGTTCTTTCCCTCTTTTTAAGGGAGCAGGGCACACTTGGATTTCTTCCCGAGATCCAGGAGGAGGAAATGACTTCAAAGATACAGGACTCGGGGCGCCTGGGTGGCTCATTTGGTTAAACATACAGCTCTTGATTTGGACGCAGGTCATGATCTCACAGTTCATGAGATGGAGCCCTGGGTTGGGCTACATGATGACCGTTCAGAGCCTGCTTGGGATATATTCATTCTCTCTCTCTCTCTCTCTCTCTCTCTCTCACACACACACACACACACACACACACACACACACGTGCGCATACTCAAAATAAATAAGCTTTTTAAAAAAAACTTTAAAAAAGATACAGGAATCAGGACATGGTGTATGCTGTCCAGTCTCTAGCTGTGCAGGTTGAGTGAAGGATTCATCGGAGTGTCTATAATGGAAGCACTACATAATCCACTGCTCAGATGCCTCAGGTGAAAACCCCACTTTGCGAATGGGAGTGGAGGGTCCTGTGTGGAGTATGGAATGACCTGAAAAGCCACCAGTCTTTCACAAGGAAGCATGCTTTTGCAACAAAATGATTTGAGGAGGTTTCCGAAGTGCATTCAACAGAGCTGTATCCTGTTTGCATTTATAATAAAAGCATAGGCCCCTGTCAGCCAGGAAAGATAAAAGCTGCTGTCTGGTTAGGGCTAGTAATTGCAAAATGTCAGTGTGACACTTAGCTGAAGGAGATGGGAATAAAGAAGATGGTTGAATTTAGTAGGAGAGATTCTTTATCTGCTCTTCAGATAAAAGTAGGGCCGAAAGGAGTTTTAATAAGAACCCTGATGAGTACTATTCAGTATAGGAGGAAAGTGTCTGGACAACAGCAATTAAATGGGGAGAAATTGGATCTTTTATTTTTTTATTATTATTAAATGAGGCTTAATAAAGTGTTGCTTAATAGAGTTGAGTGTTTCCAGAGACTGACGGCTTAATTTTGGATGTAGCCCTTCATGTTGGCACTGTCTGGAAGGTCTGTGCACTGGGGAATTGGTATTTAACTTAGGCTGGCATAGGGACTACAAATCTAAGTGCTGAGGCCAGACTACCAGGGTTCAAACCCTGGCTGTACCCTGTTTTAGCTGTAGACTTAGCTTCTCTCAGGTTTGTGTGGTGTTGGTGAAGTTTCTGCTATCTTTACTCCATTTTTGAGGGTTTTTGCCACCAGTGAGGTGTTACTTTCTATTTTAGAAGATCAGTTGCAGGTTGCATAGCAGTTGATCTAAAATGTCCTGGTAGTGCTTTGACAGTAACATTTGGCTTTGAGTTTCCCTTCTTTTCTGAGCCATAAACTGAGTACATAATCTATCTTCCTGCTTACACCAAAATAGGTGAAAAACTGAGTCCCCTAAAATATTATTGTGTTGGTTATAACAAAATCTCATTTTAGACTAATTACATGTTCATGTTCAGAGGCTGGAAGTCTGTTTAGAAGAAATAGTGGAGGGAGGGTGGCTTTCACAGTAGAAAGTGACTTTTCTGGCTCTGAGGAGGCAAAGGAGTGAAGCAGTTAAGTATGCCCATGTTCCTTACACTTACCTTGGTTCATACTGACACTTTTTCCATGTGCCAGAGATCATTTATAAGTGTGAAATTGGAGGTCGCAAGTAACTGTGGGAAGGATGGTCATAAATGCTTAATAGAGAAGAAAAGGCGGTACAGACAGTGCATGACGGGGGATCTTCGGGGAGGGGGTCATGTGAGTAGGGCCTTAAGAAGTGGGGAGGTTAAGGTGTTGATGGCTATCCATGTGTGGGCTTATGCAGGACACACAGAAACTTCCCCCCACCTATGAAGAGAAACTTTGGAGAACAGTAAGTCGTGTTCTTAGGATCTGGGATGATATGAAGGGGTCCTTGGAGGCAAGACTTCATTGAGTTTTTATGTTTTATCTTAGCCCTTTATGTGAACACTCTGTTCACTGCAAAATAGACGGTTAGTGTAAAAATGCTTCTTTTTTTTTTTGTCCCGTAATGTGCTTCGGAATGGGGGACTGTGTGACTTTATCTGTGGCTTTTGTCCATTGTGGGTGGAGATGGCTTCTTGGAAGGTCTTTAGGGACTGCTCTGTTATGGATGAAAGCCCAGTATTCCTTTTGCCTCTAAACTAATACAGAACCTTCTCAAACCATGCACTATGAAAGGTACTTTTTGTATCTTTTCAAATAAGCTATACTCCGGTGTAATTTATATCCAGTATGGAACTCTGGATATGTGATGTTGTGTTCTCTGAAGGTCATCTGTGGAGGCACACCATGTACACTGCCCCTCAGTGATGTTACATTCAGTCACTTTTTCAAGATGTTGCTCATTGTCTCTATTGTCTAACAGTTTTGGGGGGAGATGCTTTTTAAGGCCAGGCAAATATCCTGCTCCTCACCAATATATCCCTTTCTACCATGTATACCACGACGTATATACCATGATGGCTACAAAATGATCTTCCAAGTCCAGCACTCTCTCCACATTTACCGGTTGGCACTGCACGTTATTGTAAAAGCCTTCCTTTTGCCCCTATTTATTTATTATTAATACATACTCCTGAATTCCTCTTTGGTTTTTACTTCATTACCATACTTGTTTTGGCACTCAGATGGTACCCAGTTTTGCAGTGAGACCTCCTTCAAGCTGGTTCTTCCGTCACTGCACCTACCCCATCATGTTTTTTGTTTTTGTTTTGTTTTTGTTTTTAACTCTTTCTTACTCTCTAGCATAAAGACGAGCCTGGAGCTCCAAGTGATGACCCTTCCCAGTTGGGGAATCCGCCATTA